CCGCCGTCTCCTTCTCCACCGCGTTTAAGGAGAGGAGGGAAACACACACATACACACCCGGGACAACCCGATTAACGACGCACTATCGCCGCGCACGAAAATACACGCCGGGATATCACGTCCGTGTCTCCCCTCGTCCCACCTCGTGGGGTCGCGATCCAACGGAGACTACGAATTCGGGGCGACTCCTTCGCCGAATACGTTCTTCCTCGACCACTTCAACCGTCGTTGAAGCGTGCGGGCGGGCGGGCGTGCGTGCGTGCACGCGCGCGCGCGCGCGCGCGGTAACCCTCTCGTCCCGTAGTACTTACCAGAGTACTTGAGACGCGCGCGACAAACAACAATCGTGTCGTCACTCGCGCGACCGTGATCGAGATCGCGCGTGAGCAACTGGACCGATCGACGTCGCCGTCTTTCTCGTTTAATCGTCGATCGCGCCGCGAAAACGTTATAACACGATGCGACGCGGACGCGACCGCGACGTAACGCAACTTCTCGACTCTCGTTTCAACGCGCGTAAAATTCGTGCAGGTCCCCGCGATCGCCGGGTACGTGGCCACCGGATGTTCCAGCAAAAGGCGATGGGACTCTCGCCACGACACAACACACTCGCGCGCGACACCTCTCTTTCTTTCTCTCTCTCTCTCTCTCTCTCTCCTTCTTGTGGGCCGCGCGCGGGTTCACGCCTAGCCAACCGAACAGACGATCGTGTCTATCTTGTAAAGGTCATGTGTACGCCGAGCTCCACAGTTGTAAACAAGATGTACGCAGGCGCCGAGCGCGCGCGCGCGCGCGAATGGCGGCGGCTCCGATTATACGCGCTACGCGATTGTAAATACGAACCGATGCGCGCGCTCACGTCCGCTCGCGCATGTGTATGCACGTGCGGTGTGCGTCGTGTTTATTACGTACACACGAGCGCGACGGCGACGCGGCACAGTGGCGTAACAATCGTGTCAACGGACGGACGCCGCAATGCGGAAGAACCTTGCGCGGGGATCCCGATCTCCAGGAACCTTAGTAGCACGATTCATCGGCGCAACATTGGCCCAACATATCCCCAATGTATGCCAATCGTTTAACCAATGTTTCGCCAATGAATTGTGCTGCTCGGGAATTAACGCGCGCGGCGACGACGTCGACGAAAGCGCGTGAACCCCACCGTCGAGGATGATCTACGTCCCGCCGAAAGGTGGATCGACCGGGAACACGCCGGAACGAGAATCGATACCCCGTCGCCGCGAAGGCCGAAACTTAGCGTACGCGAATCCCGCGAATTACGATGCCTCGTAATTCCGGAGCACGCGATCCGATTACTCGAAAGATGTGTCAATAATCTGTTCCAGCAGAGAGAAAGGAGTTCCAGTACTCCGATTTTGTAACTTTTAACGACAGTTCGATATTATTATAATGCGGTTTTTTTTTACCATGTATAATATAACGACATCAACACTGTCGTTAAGAATTACAGAATCCGATACTGTAGGCCTATTCTGTAACTTTTTAACAATTTTACTAGCTAGAGATGTCGTTGCACAGGTATTTTACATGATGAAAAAAGCTGCGCAACGACAATATAACGATACCGAACTGTCGTTGAAAGTTACAGAATAGCCCTACAGGCTTATATAATTATCGCGATTACGCGCTCATACGCCTCATATTTGTCTATACCTGATTCTCTTTCAAGAATCCTGTGCTTTTTAGTTCAACTTCTTGCACGGTTCATATTTTCTTTTTTTTTTTCAACATAAGGAAAGAGGATGAACCGCGTAAGAAGGTTCAACTGAACTCGGACGACGTGCATGTCTAAAAAAATGTCATAAAGATATCATAAAGACGTCTTTTGAGACATGTCTAAAACATATCCAAGACATTATAAAGACGTCTTCTAGACGTTACGTGTTAAATTTGGGAAAAGAAAGAGCCCGTATTCTTGAAAAATTACGAACATGTGAGAAAATGCTATAGTATATGTTACGTATATTATAGATTTCCTTAGTACTTTCGTATATACGATATTTTTTTAAAATAAGGCTCCAGATTTAAAGTATCAAGCACGTTCGATCCAGTGATGGACGCACGCCGAAATGTGCTTGTTGTAGGTATATGCTATGAATCGAACAAGCGCAATCAGATGTTCCATATACGAGACGCCAGTCGTATTTTTTCATACTTTCCCCGAGATGGAACGATCGGTTAAATTTGAATGAACTTGTAAACCATATATTTGTAATATAAAAATGGATACGTACATGTATTTTTATATATAGAGTTGCATATATCTGAAAAATTCAACTTAACGTGTGAAAATTTCGCAGAAGACAATTTTTATAAATTGATACAAGATAATCGAATTATATACTTTAACATGGTATTCAATAAAATCTGGCTAGCTAAGTCAAGGATAATTCCATATTCCAGGTAAAAATCCTAAGTTTTTCCAAGATTCATCAACTATCATTATTTGATTTTCATCGATTCGCGCAATATTATATTATGTTTTGTTTTCAAGTTAAGATTCTATACGAATGAATTAAAACGCTAATAAATTTGAAACATTATTTATATGCTTTATAAATAATATCAAACGAACATTCCGTCAACACAAACAAAAAATTTTTCCATTCTATTTTAGACAAGTTCAAGTTTTCTATTGGTAACTTATTGTATCTTTAAGGAAGGATTTATAGCCAAACATACAACTTCTTTTTCATTATTTCTTTTTCTTTTTACACTGATTGTTTTTAAATAAAAGAATGAAAAATTCCAAGACAGCCCTGAAATTTCAAGGGTTTTTTCCGGGAATTTTCCAGACATAAATTTGCAGTATAATTTCAGAATCCAAGGATATTCAAGAACCGCTGGACACCATGTTTAATTAACTCGTAATTAATGTGCATAAATCAATGAATAATTTGCGATAATCAATCTTACAAGGATTATTGTTATAAACTTTTCAAACAAGTGATAAAAGTGCAAGAGACAAAATGGTGAAATTCTTTCTTCAGTGGAATAGGAAATTTTATTTGGTCATTTTCCAATCTAATTCCTTCAATTCTCGTCTAATTTCTAAAATTTCTCAATTTTAAAAACTTGTCAGAATAGACTAATTAAATTAATTTACAATGCTTTAAATTAAGAAGCGCCACAATGGTCAGAACGTTAAGTTTGTTGAACTATTGTCAATTCATTTAAATGAATTAATTTCAGAAAAAAAATTAATTTAAAGTAATTTAAATTTTATATGTGAAACTGTATACTGTATACAGTATAGGGTGGGATATTTAAAGTGTTACAAGATATTATCTCTAAAAAATTATATACCACACACATAATTCAAAAATATATTCAAACAAAAATTATGATAACAAGAAGGACGAATTATAACAAAATCAATTTAAAAAAAAAAAAAACGATTTTTTAAAGATCATATGGAAGTCGCCTCCACTTGTGTGCGCGTGTAATTTTTTTTTACATAATTTCTCTTATTCTGCGAACAAAAATGCAGTTAAGGTAGAAGTATCGAGAAATTAATATGCACAGAATATTGAGATGAATCAATTAGTCTAAAGAAAATATAATTGTATTTTTTAAATATGTAATTACATAGCTTGTTAACACTTTATATGTCTCACTTTGTAATATTAAAGCCTATTAAACAATATATGAGGTATATTCACATATGCCGTATTTACTTTTTTTGAGCTGAATTTTGTGTCTTTATTTTTACAATAAAATAAATTAAAAACAAATGTTTTTTTCAAAATATTAGTAATCACATATTGAATTGTGACAAATTCTATCACTCAATCTGTAATTTTCAAATTTAGATCAGATGCTATGAATAAATGTATATTAAAATAAAAAATAATGAATCTGATTTTGATATCGTTTAAAATTATATCCTTAAACAATAATTTTTTTACGAGCTTAGCAATAGTAGATAAAGAAATAAAACCGAGAATGATTGAACACTTTGTACTAAAGAAATTAAAGAAAGGATTGATGCTAATTAGAACAAAAGCCATTAAATGTGGACTGATATAGGAATAGCATAGTTATCTAAAAAACACGGATTTTTTTTCTTTAGATATATAAAATTGTATTACATACAGTATACCGCAGACAATAGCTTTAGAAAAATTTGGCAAAATATTCTACATCATTTAAAAAAATATATATATATAGAATATACTTATAGGCTATAAAATTACACCCTATTTACCTTCTCAGTCGATAGATAATTAAAATTAATGATCTATAAGTAATAATCTAGTATTACATGCAAGTCTCATCTTCAAAAAATAAAATAATTATAATATTGAATGAGTAAATAAAATATAATAATGAATATTAAAAGCCATTTTGCATCTTATAAAAAATATTACATTTTGGCATCCACTGAGCGTAAACAATACAAGATTTTTATGTAAAAATACATAATAGCGTTCTTATATCACAATGTGTTGAACTGTACACATGGGAACATAAATGCCTAGCCATCCGAAGTTATAGAGCATGAGAAGGAATATATCAAAACCATGAGAAGGAATGAAAAGTCATAAAAAGTCATGGCCAGGCATTTGTGTCCTCGTATGTACAAACATAAATTTCCAAAATTATATTAAAATATAACATTTACTTAAATTATCAAATAATTTTACTATTACTATGTCACATTTATTACTATTGTAACGTCATGTTTCACACTGTCTGAAAATAAAAAAAAAAGAATATAAATACTGAAAATATAATAAAGTAAATCAATCGCTCTCAAGAATAGA